GGGGGGGGGCGGGGAATGGTGGTGGTGGTGAGGACACCAGCTGGCCCTTGCCCTCAGAGCCAGGCACTGGGAAGGAGAGGGTTAGGGGTGGAAGTTCACAAATGCCATTTCTGAACCCTCAACTGCCAGAGCTATTGCTCTGGAAGAATCTACCGGGCTTGGGGTCCACACTGGATCTACAATGATTCCCTCTTGCTCAACACACACACACACACACACACACACACACACACACACACACGCCAACTCAGCAGACGCAGACAAAAATAATCCTGTTCTCTACAAGTTTCCAAAGAATTCCTAGCATAGCCACTCATATGGTAACAGAGTGAGACAGTTAAAAAACAAATTTAATAGGGAGCCAACTGTGCTGCTCATCGAAACCGGACTGGATTAAAAAAAAGTGGTACAGATACACAATGGAATATTACACAGCCATAAAGAGGGACAAACATGGACTTCACAGCAACTTGAATGAATTTAGTCTATCATACTCAGTGATCTATCACAGAAACAAAGAACAGAATACCACATGTTCTCACTCATAAGTGAACATTGAACATTTACCGTAATACTGTAAGAAAAGGATTGGCAGTAGCAGAATAGTGCCGGGGTGGGAGGTGGGGGTGACACAACATCAATATGGGCACCTGACCTCAAACCAGGCAAAGTGGGGACCAAAGGGAGGCCCAAACTTTACCTGTATGATGACCACTTGTATACCTAATCCTGAATTGTACCCCACATCTTTAAGATAAAAAAAAAATCCAATTCATCAAATATGATTACGATTTTAAAAACCCCACAGAAATGCCACACAATAATAGGGCCGATGTATTGAAAGTTTCCTTAATGAGGGTCACACATTTGCTTTGTCCCTTTCCTGTCTCTTCCTTTTCAAGTTGTCTTTAAATTTTCCCTTCATACCATCTCTTCCCTTTCTCCCTGGAAAGGGCCGACGTACCACTAACACTAGAGATAATGGCTCCTTCAGACAAATCAGACCTGTGTGTTCAAACCTGGATATGCAGTGACCCGAAAGCCAGTTGTTATGCACACATCTCAGTCTCTTACTAACTACTGGACTCTGAGTTCCCACGATTGTGTGTGCAAACCAAAGCCCAATAGCAAGGGCAGAACATCAATGGAACCTACATGAACTGCGCTAGCAAGCAGCAGATGTGGGTGCCTGCATAGGTAGCTGCTGCAGGTGTGAGCAATGTCATGTGCTGTGATCCTGAGAGCAGCGGGAATGGGCTCTGAGAATTCCAGGTCCTCGAGTGTTGGTATTTCTCATACTCAGACTCTCTTTTCCATGATCTGATTTTAAAACAAACAGCCTTCAGCATTCAATCTTTGTCCTTGCTGAAGTAACAGCGGGATCCCTATTGTAACACAATTCCCTTTCTCTCTCTGCTTCCCCTAATTTGTAAATTTTGGGGGGAGGGGGTAATCAATGATTTAACAACCTTTCAACACCATCAACAGACACCACCATGAAACGACAAATGACACAACAGAAAATTCCCCGTCCTCAGTGATTTTGGTCAGGTACACAGGAAGGCAGAGACTTAGAAATTTGGTGTCACAAACATAAAAGGACATTTCAGGAAGAACGGGATTTCTCATGTGACAAGAGAAGAGCTTAAAGACTGGGCTGGGAAAAAAAAATAAAGAGAAAAGACCTAAAGTATTAATGTTGAAGACATGAAGACCTACCGGTGTCCAAAGAGTAATGCCCGTTATTTACCCTCCAGACCGAGGACTTTTATAAGTCCCAGGTAAGTGCGTTCTGTATGGCCTTCTCTTATAAAGAGCACACAGCACATTAATTTACACCCAGTACAATTAAACTACCGAAGCATCCAAAAAGTTGCCCCTGTTGGCTGCCTGAAAAGTACCGCTAACAATCTTTTCCTTTTACATGGTAAGAGTCGCTCTTAACAAAGGGAACTGCAAAAGCACACACATTCCCATACCCACTAGCAAGGAAAATTCATTTCCGAGGTCTACTCAAAGAGAACCAGTCCATGCGCCCCCTGCTGGTTTCGCTGTAGCACTGATCCTACAAAACCCCACAGGATTTCATTAGGGATATTCATGCAAGAGTGATATGTCAGAATCCAAAATGAGAATATTTGCATATAGTAGGCCTAGCCAGTAAGGGAATAGGTTAATTAGCCCGAGGCAGCTCTGGAGAAGAAAAAGCAGCAGCATAAAAGTCCTTTCAAAGCCAAGTAAAATGTCAAACACATTCAGGAAGAGGTCTATTAGCAATGCAAATGTAAAATTGCCTGTACAATTGAATGCACAATATACAAAACTAGAAAACTCCTCTGAAACTACTTCTTTAAACACCCGGCTTTAGTAAATTTGAAAAAGAATGCTGACTTTGTTCTCAGTCGTGCAGGGGTTTATTTATACTGTTGATTTGAGAGATGCTGGCTCAGTCAGCCCTAAAGAGTAACTGGGTGGGTCTTCTGCTAATGGACCATTAAGACATATTGGCCTTAACACACAGAATCCCATTTACTCTTCTGAAAAGTTACCCATTGATAAACAGCATCTTTTCCAGGGGCAGCTAATGATGAACCAAGGATACATAGATTAGCACAAAAGCTGGAGCGACCTTGGGGACAAACCGATGAAAATGTCCACCCATCCTCCTACCATATTTATTTATCTATTTATTTTTTTGAGTTGGAGTCTCGCTCCGTCGCCCAGACTGGAGTGCAGTGGCCGCTCCCGGCCGCCGCAGCCTCGACCTGCTGGGCTCCGGCGATCCTCCCGCCTCAGCCTTCTGAGTAGCTGGAACTACAGGCGCGCGCTCCCACGCCCGGCTCATTTTGATTTTATTGTAGAGATGAGGTCTCGCCAAGTTGCCCAGGCGGGTCACGAACCCGCGGGCTCAGGCCATCCACTCACCTCAACCTCCCAAAGGCGCGGGATTACAGGCTGAGCCACCGAGGCCAGCTCTCCTACCATATTTAGAAGAGCTATTTAGCAGTGCAGACTGGAGACAGAGCTCTCCAATTCTGGGGTCTGCCTCCCCTTCGTGACCCATTAGCCCTTTGTCTTGTCTACACCTTTCCTTGGGGGAAAACCAGAGGGTAGGGATCGGGCCTTGCTGTATTTTCAGTGAATCACCAGAGGGCGCCACAGGATGCTCCATGTGCCTGGTAGACTGGATGCCTTTCGCGGGATGCAAGAAGAGAGAGAGAACTTGCCAAGGTGGAAAAGTCGAGGAGGGAAATGAAGGAAGAGAGAAAGGGAAAACAAGTAAGAAAGGAGAAGATCAGAGAGTGGAATTTCGTCTTTTAGGGTCTCGCTCTAGTTGCAAACAACTGGCCTCTGTGTTGCCCTCTGGAGGGTCCCTGAGGAGTTGGCCACTGGAAGCAACTACCACAACGGAAAGATTTCTTCGAAATATGGGGCCACACCCAATAATATCAATGCTGATTTACCAGAGAACCACATATGCAGCCCACACTGCTTAAACATCTACCCATGTTACGGATGGGAGTTAATAGATGAAGCAAGGCAAATTTATTTGGGGGTTTACTACCTATAACTTGCCTGAGTGCATTCATCTCAAGCATATTTATAGTTACATTTATATCTATCTCTCTATCAGTGTTTTCATTTTTATTTTTTTGAGTCAGGGTCTCATTCTGTCACCCAGGCTGGAGTGCAGTGTCACAATCATGGTTCATGTCTGCCTTAGCCTTCTGGGCTCAGGCATTCCTTCTTCCTCAGCCTCCCAAGTAGCTGGGACTACAGGTGTGCACCACCACATTCAGCTAATTTTTTTTTTTTTTTTTGTAGAGATGAGGTCTCACTATGTTGCCCAGGTTGGTTTCAGACTCCTGGGAGCAAGCGATCCTCTCACCTCGGCCTCCCAAAGTGCTGGGATTAAAGGCGTGAGTCACCAACCCTGGCCTCCAACAGTATTTTTAAATTTAGCTGAGTGGTATAAGGCCTTGCTAGTCAAAGTGTGGCTCTCAGACCAGTAACATGAGCCTCCCTAGGAAGCTTGTTGAAAATGCAGAATCTCAGCCCCCTCCCGGACCTACTGATTCTGCATTTTAACAAGAGCTCCAGATGACTCTCATGCACAGTAAGGTTGCAGACACTCTGGCAGAAGATTCAATTTTCTACCGCTAAGCTTTTAAGCAAATTAAGCATCTCTAGCCTCTTCCTAATGGAGTAGGCTTTGGAAAACCAAATGAGGTGCTGTGTGTAAACAGAGTTGGTGGAGCCTTGGAGATAAACAGCTAATATTTAGGTGAAGCTCGGCTGGTTCCTTTGGGGTCATCTAAACCCAGTACAGCTCTGAATAACAAATGCAGATTGTCTTCTGATTGTTAAAAAAAAAAACAAAACTATAGAGAAACATAC